TGACATAGCACATTCTTTCTTTAAAAAAAAAAAAAAAAGTAGGCCGTTGTCAGAATGAAGTATATTGAATTTGGGAAGAAGGAGATGTGTTTCTGTAATATACAGTATAGAACATAGTGCTTGAGCAAATAAAAGCAATGATGGGAAAGGCCTCAACTTTCTAGTCAATGGTCATGGCTCTCATGTCCCAGGCCCCTGTGTTGGGTTCTGAGTATGCTCGCAGAGGCGTGTCTTTGCACATACTGTTTTCTTTTGTTTCTTTCTTTTTTTGGTCTTTTTGAGACAGGGTCTCCCTCTAGCACCAGCTGTCCTAGAACTCACTGTGTAGACCAGGCTGGCCTTGAACTCACAGAGGTCCGCCTGCCTCTGCCTCCTGAGTGCTGGGATTAAAGACATGTGCAACCATACCCAGCTCTTGTTTTTTATTTTTATTGTTTATTTGTTTAAAAAGAGTCTCACACTGTGGCCCTAGCTGATCTGGAACTCACTGATATAATCCAGGCTGGCCTTGAAATCCCAACCCTCCTTCTTCAGCCTCCCAAGTGCTAGGATTACTGAAGTAAACCCCCATGCCCAGCTTTTCGCATACTGTTTTCCTTCCTTGGATGTTGCCTCTTATGTAACGTATGTATGTATGTATGTATGTATGTATTTTTGGTTCCTCTAATGTACTCTAATTAAGGCAGGAAGATGCAGTGGTAAAGATTAAGTTGATCCCTACCCTAATGGAGTTTACAATTTAATGGGTTGGAGAAACATATGTTCAATAAAAACCCAAACAAATGGTGTGATGTTAATTGGGGAAAGTGTTATGAGTGAGAAGTACAGGATGCTGCATGGAAGGGGTATCTGAGCTAACAACTCAGTAAAGTTCTATATGAGGAAATAACTTTTCAGTTGAGATGTCAAAATTAGGAATTAACTATGAATTGAGAAAGGAGTGTTTCAGAGGCTAGAGGGAACATCTTGTCATGAGGAAGCATAATCAGGAAATGGAGGTCCTGGTGATTAGAGAAGTTACTGAGCAAGAAGAAGAGCAGCAACTGTGATGGAAAAGAGGTAAGCACAGACTTTCTAGCTCACAGTGATGTCTGTAGTTTATTCAAAAGGCAACAGAAGGTCTTTGGGAGCTTTTGAAGTCAGGAACGTGGGGTGTGGTTACATGTTCAGATTAATATTTGAAAATAGCTGCAGTTCCAGGGGATCCGATGGCCTCTTCTGTCCTCCAAGGGCATTGCACAACATGGGTGCACTTACCTACACACAGGCAATATACTCGTACACATAAAAATAATAAAAAAATAAAATATTAAAAAAACAATAAATATTTTTTAAAAATAGCTACTTTGGCTATAGTTTTTTTCATTGCTGGTAGTTTTGTTTTTTTAGAAAGCTTTGTGAAGTTCTAGGTAGAAAGTAATGGAGAAAAGAGGTTCTATGCAGACTGTGAGTCAAGGAGAAATGATGGTGGTTTGGACCAGTGTGTTAGGACTAATGATGGACAGAACTTAAAGTAAGATTTGTTTTATAGCTTGAATTGGTAGGACTTAGTGAGAAATGGATTTGAAAATGGAGAGAAAAAGACATTCAGGATAAATACAGAGTTTCTGGATTGAATCAAGTGTGAATAAAAGGTCTTTGTTATTTTGTGTGTGTATGTGTAGTGTGTGCATGTGTATGTGCGTGCGTGTGTGCATGCATGTGTGTGTGTGTGTGTGTGTGTAGGCCAGTGGTTGACTTCAGGTGTCTTCCTCAATCACTTTCCATTTTAGAGCGCTCCATATTGAAGCAGGGTCTCTCATTTGAACCCAGAGCTTGCCGATTGGGCTGCTCTCATTAGTCAGAGGGATCTGTCTCTGCCTCCTGAGTGCTGGTCACAGGTGGGTTGCCATACCCACCCAGCATTTATGTTGGTTCTGTGGATCTAAACTCTCATTCTCACATTTGTGTGGCAAGCTCTTTACCCACCAAACCTTCTCCCAAAAGGCCTTTTTAAAAATTGACCTGTGAAACCGCTGTCCAGGAGGGACAGGCTGGTGTTACATGATTTCTGTCAGTACTTAGTATTTTGTAATTAATTGTGCATTTGCCTGTCTCCCTCACCACCAGACTGTAATTCCTTTGTCAGGAAGTATTTTGTTGTTTTTTTTTGTTTTTGTTTTTGTTTTTTTGATGCTCTTGGAATATGGATAAATAGTTCTCAAGTGTTTTGTACTGAGTTTTGTTATGTTAAAGGTTTCTTTTATCCTAAATCTTGGTAATGCTGGGAGTAAGTTAATGTTTCTTTACTGCAGAAGAGTCTTTCATTTTCTTTTTTTCTAAAATTATTTAATCACCACATGATTGGAAGAAGCATTTCATTACAGCTTTAACATATTCAATAACAATTTCCAGAGCAAAGATACATCTCTTTCAAAAGTGACTATAAATTTTTAGATTCACAGTTGAATTAATACAGTTATACAATATTGAACTCAGTATAAACCCTATAAGACATAAAATTGAGTGAGGTTTTAACCTTTAAAAAAGATCCCCATTTCGTTTTAAAATATACTGTTTCCTAGAGAAACAGTAAGATTAAGCATCTTTGTCACAAATTATATCATTCTTCCTTTGCCAGCTTTTGTTTTTTGAGCATCTCATGTTACTTGTATTGAGGTTAAGAGGTGGGAATAGGGTGTTCTGTGGGAAATGCTGACTTCCCAATGAGCCTGACAATGAGTAGGTATGACTTTACTGAGTGTGGACTGCATAGTAAGTTTACCTGGCTGCTGTTGGAAAATGTCTGTGGGAAGCGCATTTTGCCTGTAGTTGCTACAGATCCTTTTCTTCTACTCCCAGTGATCAAAACAAGCATCAAGGGGTGAGAATTTACTGTCTGTTGTTTGTTCCTGCCAGGCTAAAAAAAGAAAGGTGGCATGAGGTGACAAATTTTGTTCTGTCTTTTTTTTTTTTTTTTTTTTTGTTTTTTTGTCTTTTTGAGACAGGGTCTCCTTGTAGCCCCAACTGTCCTGGAACTCACTCTGTAGACCAGGCTGGCCTTGAACTCACAGAGATCCACCTGCTTCTGCCTCCCAAATGCTGGGATTAAAGGCGTGTGCCACCACGCCTGGCTTGTTCTGTCTTTTTAGCTAAGCTGGGCAGAGCTGAACAAAAAAAATCTCTTTGCTGTCTCCCTACTGCCACCAATGTCTGCTTTCATTTATTAACTCCTAACATCTAAACAGTACATTTCTTATAGCATTGAGTTTTTCATAAAATAAACATTTATTACACTAGCAACTTTTTTGGTAAAAGAAGTGTTCCATCATTTTTCTAGGGCTATTTCTGTTTTTAAGTGTTGACTACTGTACAAAAACTGGGATTCACAGAAATAGAAGGATAGAATAAATGGGAGAGGCACTTTTTATTTATTCTTTTGAAAAGTATATACATTTATTTTAGAGGGAAGTTTTTCTTTCTCCTTTCTCTTTTTTTCCTCTTCCTCCTCCTGCTGCTGCTTCTCCTCTTCTTCTCCCTCCCTCTTCCACCTCCCCCATTTGAATGCTCATGACGTTTGTTTGTTTGTTTATTTATTTATTTATTTATTTATTTATTTATTTTTGGTCTTTTGGGGACAGGGTCTCCTGGAACTCACTATGTAGATCAGGGTGGCCTCGAACTCACAGAGATCCGCCTGCTTCTGCCTCATGAGTGCTAGGATTAAAGGCATGTGCCTGGTGACAGTTCATTTTTATAGTGGAACCCATCAACTCAAACAGGAAATGTATTTTTAAAACTTGGGGTTTATTTTGTAATGCCAAATGACATTATTGTGCTGCGTGTGTTAATGGTTTCATTGATGCATCTTATAGTCATAAAGTGTGGGCAGGTGCCTTTGCTCTACAAAGGCTGTTGAGTTATTTGGCTATTGAATTAACAAGAAAATAATTCTATGGGGTTTTTTCCCCCTATATTTTTGTATGGTAAAAAATCCAGCCTAGATTAATAGTGCTAATATATCACAGCTACACCCACATATGTATCGTCATACCTTGATTTATATTTTTTCATTTATGTGCTCTGCCCAATATTATTTCACGTACTTATTTTTAAATTCGAGTAGCTTTGGATGACAGGAAAACATTTTCTTTAGTACTGCTATTAGAAAAGACTTTATTAGCTTCTGTCATTAGTTTAATATTTCCTTAGCTTGTTAGGGCCAGTCTTTTCAGCTGAACTCCTGAGGTCACATCATCAAGAGCAGATAGAACTCTGTGAATAGATACTACTTTTTCTATGTATTTTAAGAAGTTATTGAAGGAAGGAAAAATAACTGTTGGATATATTCTTTTTTAATATATTTATTTTCTTCAGAATTTCATACAAGTATACAATGTATTTTGATCTTATCCCATTTCCTCCCCAACATGTTCCCCTCCCAACTAAATGTCTTCTTTTTCTTTCTTTCTCTCTTTCTTTCTTTCTTTCTTTCTTTCTTTCTTTCTTTCTTTCTTTCTTTCTTTCTTTCTTTCTTTCTTTCTTTCTTTCAATAACCCAGAGTCCATAACCACATGTACATGGGCATGGGGCCATCCACTGGAATATGGGCAGCCACCAGGGACCAAACCCTCAGAGGAAAATAATTCTCCATCCCCTAGCAGCTATCAGCTATCAGTAGCTCCTCAGCTAGTAGTGAAGCCTTGTGAGTCCCTTTCCCCTGGTGGACATATTTTTAGCAGTGACGGGGACTGCATGAGTGTAATATAGTGATTTTTTTTTAAAGCAAGGGAAAACAGATGCAATTTTGATGCTTCATCCTTGGATGTCATTTCAGTTATCTCAGTATTATATGTAAATTTGACTGTGCTTGGCAATTATCAGTTGTATATTCTGTTGAGTGAAATGCCACACCTCAGGTACATTTTTGGGGTATACTTCACTTGGCATTTGGAGCTTCTAATACAGCATTGTTGTCCAAGAAGACCATTCTAATTCTAGACACTTTTATTTTGTTTCAGGTCGATCTTCTCTTTTCCCCTTTGAAGACGCCTTCTTGGACGACAGCCATGGTGATCAGGCCTTGTCATCTGGCTTAAGTTCTCCCACTCGCTGTCAAAATGGGGAACGAGTAGAACGCTACTCTAGAAAGGTGTTTGTTGGAGGCCTTCCTCCTGACATCGATGAAGGTACTATATGCATTCTTTAATGACTTTACAAATGCTGGATTTGTGCCTTGTGTCCTAAGATCTTTATATGCAAGGAAACTGAGGATCAGGTAGAAGTAATTTGTCTAATATGCAGCTAATGGTACAGTTAGAATTCAAAGTCAGTCTGATTGCAGAGCTTTTTGCTTATGTCTGTTATACCATCATATTTTAGCATAAACATCCCATGGAAACTGTGTTCCCCCTCTGGCATTTAAAAGAATGAAAACATTATAATTTTTCTTGATGCTTATCAATAAATATTTGCCAAATGTATTAATGAAATGAAACTATTTTAATAAAGCTATCTTAAGGAAGAAACTACCCTAGTTCCAATAGAATTTGAATTTGCTATGAAAATATTCTTAGAACAGACCTTTGTTGCCCGCATTACTCTAACACCTCTCTAATGTGTTGTAGTTTCTTTTATGTTTTCATGATAAGAGGAAGAAAGGTTGCTAAAATAGTTTCAAACTTACTGCATTAAAGTTGTAGGTGACTGGAGACTCATTTTCCTCCAAACTGTTCTCATTTTTTATCATCTATCAGTTAGATTTTCTTTAAGATAAACTTTTTATCATGACTCAATGATTGGCAACCTACACTTGAGTATTAATGAGGTTATACTTCTCCTTTGAGTCAAAAAAGAGATAAATGAATTGAGTTGAAATTTTTTATATATTCTCTTAGTAAAATGGATAGTATATAGATAGGAGGAAAAGACCATTAACTTTTAACCTTTTCACATCACCAAACAAAGTTGTCTACTTTGTTGTCCTTGTTCCTCATCAATAGAACCATTTATTTTTAAAATAAACTTTTAGATTCATAGAAGTAAAATTATACATTTGAAAAAGTTTTTATTTATTGGCCTGGGGGGATGGCTTAGTGGTTAAGAATACTTGTTGTTCAGTTGGGTGTGGTGACGCACGCCTTTAATCCTAGCACTCGGGAGGCAGAGGCAGGTGGATCTCTGTGAGTTTGGGGCCAGCCTGGTCTACATAGTGAGTTCCAGGACAGCTACAGCTACAGGGAGACCCTGTCTCAAAAAAGACCAAAAAAAAGAAGACGACTTGTTCTTTGAGAGGACTTGGATTTGATTCCCAGCAGCCACATCGTGACCGATGAACTCCTGCAACTCCAGTGCCAGGGAATCCAACACTCTCTGCTGACCTCTGTGGGCATTAGACACGTGTTGCACTTAGATACATGCAAGCAAATGCTCATTTATTGCAGGGAGGGAGTGTGCCACAGCACATGTGTAGAGGTCAGAAGACAGCTTTTAGTAATCAGTTCTCTCCTAGTATGTGGGTCCTGATGATTGAACTTGGGTTGTCAGGCATGATGGCAAGTGCCTTTACCTGCTGAGCCATCTTGCTGGCCTGTGAAATTATATTTTAAACATTATCTGTATCTTTATCTTTTTTCTAAAAACAAACATTCCTACGGTTGGAATCTCCTTTTTGCTTGATATAGAGGTTGCTTTAGCTACTATTAGGGCTTTCTTCCAAATTATTTATTTTCAGTTAAAGGAAATGAATTATAGTTAGACACACACTTTGCATGGTTAAAAGTGAATAATGAAACATACACCTCAGCAATGGTATTTCATTTTGTGGATATTATTTCTATAAAAATGCTTTACAGACTATCTCTCAAAAGAAAATAAGTGGGGAAAAAAGGGAAAAAAATACTCCTTTTTTTTGCCTTTTTCTAAGTTCTTTCTCTGTTTTATAGATGAGATCACCGCCAGCTTTCGCAGGTTTGGACCACTTGTGGTTGACTGGCCTCACAAAGCGGAAAGCAAGTCCTACTTTCCTCCCAAAGGTAACATGCCTCCCCCATGGCAGAGGCCCACAACAGTGTGACACTCTTGTAACTCCTGAAATAGCTGTTGAGTTTTTCACCCCACAACAGCAGGGTCATCCTTTTATGTGTATGTTTCTACCTGGAGATTCTTTCCCCAGGAGTGCACTGTCTGTTTCATGGCCCTGATTTTATTGACAGGGAGACTTTGTAAGCCTGGTGTAGAGGAGCTTTTTGCTGACTTTACTGCGTTGTGAGGAATGTCAGTGATGGTAAAATTTAAGGCCAATTTTTGGTCGTTATGTATAAAGTTTTTATAAACTTCGTAAGTGCAGAACTTGAAAAATCTACTGATTGAAGACCTTTATCTGCATCTGTATATTAAGTGACTCAGCCTGTCTGGAGGGGGAGAGCAGACTAGTGAAAGATTGCTCGTATAGGCCTGCTTCTCTTAACTTATAGGGGTTTCTTCTGATTTAGGAGGGTACAAAAATATACTGCTTTTTCTGCTCATAGTTTGTCATTTCTGCAGAATCCAGGGAACTTCTCTAGTGATTGTCACTCTGCATGTGTTCTTAGATTTATAGAATAGAGTCTTTTGGATTAAAGAAAATGTTCTTTCCTGTGTTACATTCTGCAGTTATGAATCAGGGATGCCTGTAACATTACTGGTCACAAGAAGGTGAGGTCAAAATATACATCATTCTTGTGTCTTGTAGAGGAGTCTATAGAGTTCAAGTTAGGGAAGGCAAGTAGTTTCCTTTTATGTCTAATTCCTTAGGTTTCCTTCTCCACACTGTATACTACCTATGAAAATACGTTACTCATTAAAGGGTTGTTTACTTGCTTTTAACATCTTCTGTTAATTCTCTCCAGATTTTTTTAAAATGGGGCCTGCCTCATCCAGTATCCCAGCTTGGCCTTCCACTCAGGGTCCTCCTATATCAGCATCCCAAGTGTAGGGGTTATTGACATGTACGACCTCATCTGGCTCAGAACACTTTTGCACTTAATATCATGTTTATACTAATCAGAAGAATAAAATCATCATGCTGATTGTACCATGTGGTACATGAACTATACTGTTTAAAGATGTATGTGTGTGTAAAAGATGTTTTCAAGCCAAGTTTGATAGTACCTATAACCCCAGCATTTTATTTTATTAAATAATTTATTGAGAGTTTTATATAGGCATATAAGCGTATAAGGTGGTTTGGATAAAATCCATGCCCACTCCCTCCCCTCCAATTCCTCCCATATTACCCCATCACTTTTTTCTGATAACTTCATGTACTCTTTCTTCTTCTTTTTTTTAAATGGGGCTTTTTGCTACTCCAACATTCCCCCCTCTGAAGAGGTATCCCTAAAATCTTTTAAGGATTAGATAAGAGCTACCAAATACTTTTGACAGTTTTGGCCTTTGAAACAGGGTATGTTGCTAAGAGGCCCAAGAAACTGGCTACTTTTCTTTGGGGTCTTTTTACACTAACTGCCTAGCCAATTCCTACCTCCTATTCTTATCACCCCATCCTCTGAAGAGGTTACCCAGCTTTTGGATAAGGAATAGGGACACAGACCGTCCTGGCTTCTTCCATGCTGAACAGGGATGCAGGCTGAGGCAGTTGGGGTACCCCTTCATTGGGTCTATCTAAAAGACTCACAAATTGCATAACTCTTATCTGTAGGGGGAAAAGAAAGTCCTTGACTGGTGAATAGGAGATGTGAAGGAGAAGTAAAGACAAGAGTAATTAGCATTACAAGTCCTACACAGGGAACTAGAAAAAAGTCAGAACAGGGCAAATTTCAAATGTTCCTATGAGAGTCCATTGGAATTTCTTGATGAGAGCTTCCAAAAGCATCCCTCTGTTGGGTTCCTCCTCATTTTTCTTTTGTCTGCCAAGGCTGGACTCTTGATGGATTCAAGATTTGCTTTCAGGTATTTTGATAGCTGTTGGAGTGGTTAGAATCAGCATCAGTTCCCTCTTAAAGGCTTCTAGATAGAGGGAGAAAACAAATTTGGCCATA